AGAGTACATCACTTGAGGCTGATGGGCGGTCAGAGGCGGCAAAACCGCAAGCTAGACTCATTCAGGTAGGCCCCACAAGTCCCCCCGACCGGCCCATGGATTGAAGGTCCCACGCCCAGGACATCCACCAGTGCGACTTCAGTGTCAGTGGCCCGTCTTCAGTTCCTCCACCACCGGACGCCTCCATACGCCGTACAAGCACTCACGCACCCAAAGCAGCATCCGTCCACTGACTGCCTCCGGCTGCCTGCCTGCCTGCCTCTGCCTGATTGAACGCGCTGACCTGTTCTGGTCCAGGCTGCGACTTCCTTCTTTTCTGCTTCCATCTTCTTCCTGCCCTTTCAGAATACCTTCGTCCTCACTTCCCTCCTGCCCGCTCTGACTCAGACAAAGGGCGCCGCGTTCCTGTCCTGCCCACGCAGCTCCAACTTCGTAAGGCAGCCAGCTCTCTCCTACCTCGCTCCTCTCCCTCCATCCCTCCATCACGTCCCAAACCCTTGCGACCGACAGCCCTCAACCGCGCCCGCCTCTGCTTCCAACCCTGATGCGAAAGAGGTCGACCCTGGTGCCGCCACCTTTTCTGACCACGTCCATCACCACGTCCTGATTCTTCGGCACCTTTCTGGCAACCGCGGGACCGGAGACACTGCGTCCATTCATTGACCCATCCACCGAACCTGACGTCGAGATTTTTTTAACAGTTTCTATTTCTACAGAGCAGCACCCCGCTCCCCGCGAAACCTCCTGTCGACTACTTCCCGTCGGCCAACATATTATCCCCACCATCAACGGCCACGACGGCCTCGCCACATTCTTCTGCCGAACAAGATACACGACGACTACGGATACGATTCGAGACCCTCGGGTGTTGACAGTAGAGAAGATGGCGCCCACAGTTCAGCAGATGCCTCCGGTTCCCAACAGGGAGGACATCGGAGCAACGTGAGTCGACTTTTGCAGCCTTGCGACGCCTCTGGCTTCGCTGTTGGCCGACACCCCGCGCTGACTGCTTGCAGATGGAAATATCTCGAGGCCGGCATCCAGCGTATCATGCTTGATCTCGAGCGCGGTATTGACATGCAGATCGTGAGTCCCCTCGCTGCCCCGCGCCTTCCCCCCCTCTGCGGGCTTGCCGCCGCTTGATGCAAGATTGCTGACGTCTCCTTCGTGCCGCAGTACATGGGAGTATACACGTAGGTAGCGCTGACCAATTGTTGCTGAACCACTCTGACCTCGTTGCAGTGCCGTCCACAACTTTTGTACATCTCAGAAGGCCGTTGGGCTCTCAGTGCCTCAAGGAAGTATCGGTTCTGGCAATCACAGAGGAGGTAAGCCAGCAGCAAAGATTCGCATGCAAGAGTGTGCCCATGCTGACCACTGGGAATGAACAGCCCACCTCCTTGGCGAGGAACTTTACAACAAGCTCATCGAATACCTCAAGTCCCACCTCGAAGGACTCGTCCAGCAATCCAAGACACACACCGACGAGGCTCTCCTGACATTCTACATCAAAGAATGGAACAGATACACGGTCGCCGCCAAATACATCCACCACCTGTTCCGGTATCTGAACCGACACTGGGTCAAGCGTGAAATGGACGAGGGCAAGAAAAACATCTACGACGTCTACACGCTCCACTTGGTCCAGTGGCGTAGGGTGCTATTCGAAGACGTATCGGGGAAGGTCATGGAGGCGGTGTTGAAGCTCGTCGAGAAGCAACGCAATGGCGAGACGATCGAGTACGGCCAGATCAAGCAAGTCGTTGACTCCTTCGTGTCCCTCGGTCTCGACGACTCCGATCCCACCAAGTCGACCCTCGACGTCTACCGCTTCCACTTCGAGAAACCGTTCTTAGAACATACGAAGACCTACTACCAGAATGAGTCTAAGCAGTTCGTGGCCGAGAACAGCGTGGTCGAATACATGAAGAAGGCCGCTGCTCGTTTACAGGAGGAAGAGGAGCGGGTCAAGATGTATCTTCACGCTGATATCATCAATCCCCTCCGCAAGACCTGTAACCAAGCTCTTATTGCGGACCACTCCCAGCTCTTGCGAGACGAATTCCAGGTCCTTCTCGACAACGACAGAGAAGAAGACATGGCCAGGATGTACAACCTTCTATCGAGGATTCCCGAAGGTTTGGATCCTCTCCGCCAGAGATTCGAGACTCATGTCCGTAAGGCCGGCCTGGGAGCAGTACAGAAGGTGGCATCGGATGCAGAGAAGCTGGAGCCCAAGGTCTACGTCGATGCGTTGTTGGAGATTCATTCTCAGTACTCGGGCTTGGTAACGCGAGCTTTCGAAGCCGAGGCAGAGTTTACGAGATCCCTTGACAACGCCTGCCGCGAATTCATCAATAGAAACGAGGTCTGCAAGTCGGGCTCCAACAAGTCTCCTGAGCTGTTGGCCAAGTACACGGATGTCCTGCTTCGCAAGAGCAGCACCGGAATCGAGGAGGGCGAGCTTGAGAACACTCTCACGCAGATCATGACCGTTTTCAAGTACATCGAGGACAAGGACGTCTTCCAAAAGTTCTACTCCCGCATGCTGGCTCGCAGATTGGTCCACAGTAACTCCTCGTCGGACGATGCAGAGACAAGCATGATCAGTAAGCTGAAGGAGGCGTGCGGTTTTGAGTACACGAACAAGCTCCAGAGAATGTTCCAGGACATGCAGACCTCCAAGGACTTGAACGTCAGCTTCAAGGAGCATGTTGCGGGTCTTGGCATTACCAAGAACGCTCTGGACTCCCAGTACTCGATCCTGGGTACCGGTTTCTGGCCGTTGACAGCACCAAACACCAGCTTCACTCCACCCGCTGAAATCAATGAGGACTGTGAGCGCTTCGCTCGCTTCTACAAGAATAGGCACGAGGGTCGCAAGTTGACGTGGCTCTGGCAGTTGTGCAAGGGCGAGCTGAAGGCAGGATACTGCAAGAACAGCAAAACGCCCTACACCTTCCAGGTGTCAGTGTACCAGATGGCGATCTTGCTCATGTTCAACGACAAGGACAAACATACCTACGAGGATATCGCCGGTGTGACCCTGCTGAGCTCCGAGGTCCTGGACCAGGCTCTGGCCATCCTGCTCAAGGCCAAGGTTCTCATCATCTCCCCCGATGGCAAGCCCGAGGCAGGCAAGAGCTTCAGGCTCAACTATGACTTCAAGAGCAAGAAGATCAGAGTGAACTTGAACCTTGGAGGAGCCAAGGAGGCTAAGCAGGAGGAAGTGGAGACCAACAAGACGATCGAGGAGGACCGCAAGCTGTTGTTGCAGGTACGTATCTGGCGAGTCCGACTCACCTTTTGACATATGCTAATAAGTCGCACAGTCTGCCATTGTTCGTATCATGAAGGCGAGAAAGAAGATGAAGCACACGCAGCTCGTCAGCGAGACTATCAACCAGATTCGGTCGCGCTTCGTGCCAAAGGTTTCGGATATCAAGAAGTGCATAGAGATTCTCCTCGACAAGGAGTACTTGGAACGGCTCGAGGATGACGAGCTTGGCTACTTGGCGTAATTGGGATCGGGCTTTTCCTCTCGAGAAGAGGAAATACCCTCTTGCCTCTCTCGATTGTCTATGTATTACAACACTCTCAAAACTGCATACACACCCCATCTTTACCAGGCACTCGATTTGCGTTACACGGGCACACTCAGGTGTGTGCAGGCTCCCCAGCGACAGGAACGAGGAATACTTCACGAAGGGGGCTGTTTTCTTCGGGTTAGGGGCGACCGGCAGGTGGGCAGGGTTAGATAGCCGCATGCGGATTCCTCATATTGACTGTTAAAAATGCCACAGACAATGACCACGGTGACGCCTGAGGTGAGCGATTCCACTCAGTTAGTATTGACTGCGGCACGGCAGCACTACGGAGAGAGGCAACCATAGGGCAGTAGACGTCTGGGATGTGTAGGTCCGCGAGGACGTGGAAGTATAAGTGTCAAATCATTCAAAGCCATGACATCCATCGCGGCCATACCGACGTAATGTTAGAAAATAGAACCTCCAACCCTGCCCTCTAGTAACCGGCCTCGCCGTCAGCATCATATCTCATCATGGCGCTTGTTGTGCAAAGCTAGCCGCCACCGCAACACCTTTGCACATCAGCCGTACTTGCTTTTCCGGGCATTATCAAGATATTCTTGGCTGCAAGACTGGTTTCTGGTAGCATTCCGCCTTGCCCTCACCTATCAACGCCAGAAAAGTTGATTGGCCCTAGACATGCTTGAGCAGGCAGGTTTGGAGAGATTTTCAGGCACCCGGCAACGCTCTGTCGTCACATCAGCTCATTTCCACCGACATTTCAGCTACTTATGTATTTTGCACATAATTTAAGTAGGGCTACCACTGTAGTCGGTCGCCTTCGCGAGTCTTCTTACGGATTGTCGAACAGCAAAGGGGCCGTAGAGTGGATAGATGGGCCACGATCTCCCCACAGCTCGGCCTCCGACGTACGCCGCATGGTCTATTTCCAATACGACGTATCAGAGCCCACAGTACGTTGTAATGTCTATTTTCCCTTCATGGGATGGAAATTGGACCTTGGTTTAGAGTCGGCTACGCTGGACAACTGTACGTGTAGTTGCAACAAATTGGCGCAAAGGACCATGCTAGAGCACCACTCCTCGACATATACACACAACCAGCCCACTGCCCACGACAGTATTTTCCCATTCACGGAAGGTACCGGCGAGATCTTTGTTCACCTTCGGATGATCGGCAAGGTGTTTGCAAAATATCAAGCGTACATGACCCTATGGATACTACTGAGGGTATGGCGCAGCAGACAAGTTGCCAAACATCACCATATCCAGTAAGAAGTCGGCGAGAAGCGGTGGAAATGATACAAACCTTCGAAGGGATGATGACTCGTTGTGAACTCGAGCCCACTGGTAATACGTCGTATCTCATGGATGAAGTGGAAAGCATGGTTCACAGAGTCGACTGACGCTCTTGCAAGTGCTCCCAGCTCTTGGGGTATATATCTTCGCCGTCATGGCCGTTCTTAAAGATGTCTGGACAAACTCATCAGCGCAATCTTTCAGCTTCAAAACATTCTTATTCGCCTTCCAAACAGCTCTGTCTTTAGTCAAGATGCAGTTCTCCGCCCTCCTCGCCACCATCGCCGGCCTCGCCGTCGGCGTCAGCTCCGCAGCTTTCGACGTTCGCGGCGAAGACGTCGGCTGCGTCGGCGCCTGCGGTCACGACTACGCCTGCATCTCCCAGTGCTTCGACAAGCGCGGCCTGGAAACCCGCCAGTCCGCTGCGCAGCAGTGCGTCTTTGGATGCGCCAAAGACGATTACGGATGTTACGCCAACTGCTTCAACAAGCGTGACGAGAGGACCGCCTGTGTTGGAGCTTGCGGCCATGATTATGCCTGCATCGGCAGATGCTTGGGATAGACTTCTTCATGTTGTGACCTTGGTAAGTGCGGCAGAATACTTCAACATTCTAAAATTCATGGCGGTGGCTGACCATTTCTGTCTCAGCAGTACAGTAGCAAGCATAGCATAGCACAAGTGGCATCAACTACTAAACTCTCTTGGTAATAAATATCCCTTGAATTCTTTTATAGGGCTACCAGATCGTATCCTAAACATGTACCTAAAATATTACTAAATACACAGAATGTAATCTGGATCTTCTTAGTTACTGTCTAATCGAGCTGTGGCCTAATTCTTTTTTTATTGTCCATAGTCTCGAAGTTGGTCGTACTAAAATGTAAATTAGACCGTGTAATATTAGCTCTGCTATAGTTTCATTTGGTGATATCTTGACTCTAGGAGCTTTTCTGGATATAATGCTCCTGATATAAGCAATGTCAAAAGCTATTATCTAGAAAACCCGAAGGGCTCCCCAGTGAACGTAGGTGGACATAAAGAAGACCGGGCCGTCCTAGATAAGTATGTGAAGACTTAGTATACACATCTCATACTATTAACGACCGGTGAGATTAGCTACTCATTACAATAAGATGGGATATATTGTGATAAACCACCCGCGAGACGTAATTTGGTTTGACACAAGATAGCTGATATTTGTTTGCTAGGATAATTTACACAGAATGAAAATACGGAAATTCCTGGCTCGTAAATGCGCTCATCAGGCCTCGGAATGAGACATATCAACTAGACTCGAGCAATGACATGCCCCTGAACTGCGTAAGACCTCGCAAAGTATTCATAATTTGAACCCTCCCACTAGCAAGCTGGTATACACTCCTTCGGTGTCGTATTTGGCCTTGATAGTCTTCAGCAGTTGCAGATTTGCGTCGTTGTACGTGTTGAACACATCCTGCCCATTTCCCGCGTTGTTGAGATACAGAAAAGGAACCAGCTTGTCTCCCAACTTGGCGCTCATATCTGAGTTGATGTCCGAAATGAGCGTCTCAATGGCGCCAGTGTCGTTCTTGAGCGACCAAGAAAAGGTCTGCTCACACATAAAGTACGGCCCTGCATCGCTGTCAATCCCCATAGGATCGCCAGCCGGATCAGCCCCCCGGTTGGTCTCGATGAAGGACCGCGAGATAGGGTTCATAGCAAGCGTAGAGATGAACCCTTTGATCGCCGGGCCGCGTTCCTGGGCGAGCTGGAAAAATGCGTCGTGCGCGGTGTACAAGGCATCGAGGTTCGACAGCACGGTGAAGCCGTGAAATCGGAAGTTCTGGCCGTGCACCTGGTCGAAGCCCTGGTCGGCCTCGGCTGACCAGTTGGCCAGAGTGCGGGTTGCGAAAGTGCTGGTCTTCGGGATGACCTGCGGGGGGAGGAATCGTTGCAGAGCGGAGGGAGAAGTTTCGTTGTTGTCGTTGTAGAACAGCGTCGCCGAATATGTGATATTGGGCCCCGCGGCTGGTACATAGGAGATGGTCGGGAGGACAAAAGCTCGTTGGTCCTGCACTCCATTCCGGGAGAAGTCGTACAGGTCGGAAAGGAAGGAGTCACGCTGACCGGAGCCGTAAGCCACGTTGCCGACGGCCACCTTCTCAATCTCGTATGTCTTGAGCTCGAACCTGGTGACAATGGCAAAGTTGTTGCCGCCTCCGCGAAGTGCCCAGAAGAGATCAGAGTACTCGTTCGTCGCGGTGGCGTAGACGATAGATCCGCTGGATAGAACAGCCTATGTCCAGTTAGTCTTCTTTCTTATCATACAATCCTGGGGAGAGATATTCTTGCCTCGTAGCCAACAACATTCCCTGACGCCCATCCATACTGGTTGCTCAAGAAGGACATTCCTCCTCCTAACATGAATCCGGGAACCCCGACGACGCCGATGCGACTACCCACAACTGCCAAACCTCCTGGGGACAGGTAGTTGTATATGTCTGCCCAATTATGACCGGACGCTACCGAAATTAACTCGCGGTCCTCGGATAGTTGAAGACCCGTTAGGTTTGTGGTGGCCAACAAGATTCCGTTTGAATCAATGTTCGCAGCGCCTGGTATGGGCATCCACCCGCCTCCACGCACCGCAAATTGGACTCCAGATTGTGCCAGTCTCTGCACTGCAGTTGCCATGGTTTGCGGGCTGTTGGGAGTGAAGATGCAAGCCGGGCCGAGCCACCCTTCCGCACTGAAATATCCTGAATGGAGTGTCAGCGTTCATAATGTTTTTGTTCTGATACTACTATCTCAATGAACGCATAAACTTGAAAGGAAGGTGCCTGGAGGAGGATCGGAATCGGGTCCATGACATTATCCATCTGCGGCGAAGGCACTGCTCCAAGAGCCATCGTATAACAACATACCTTTATTGATAGAAGAGTAACCGGTGTTGTTAGGAAGCAGAGTGAGCTGGGGAAAATCATGCACTAAAGAAACACAGACGTCCGTGACAGTACGATTCGTTGAACACCCGGCGAGGTTCGTGAGCATCGACGCAGCCAACATGAGTTGGCTGCGGCGTAGTTGGCGCGCGAGCATCTTGTAAAGAGGAGAGACCGCGTTAGAAAATAAACACAGAAGGAAGGGAGGAGACTACTAAGAAATATACGCCAGCGTGAGTAAGGCTATTTTCCGCAGAGATAACGCGGTCGCCCCAAAGTAAAACTGCAAGACGTTGAACATGTCGAGGACAGCCGGAATTTATCTACTGGACCGCTTCTTCGGCACCGTCGTCAGCGAACTCCTAATTCTATATACGACGTATTTACCAGTGTACATAAAGAAAATATATTCAGATTATAGAATAAGGCATCTGCATTATCAATGGGGAATACGTCGTATTCGCCAATGCACCGAGCTAGAGGCTCATGATGGCAGAGCACAGACGTGCAGATCATCTGGGTATAAGTGGACGGCAAACGCTTCGCCACGCGGGAATTAAAGACAGAGGGTGAATCTAGAAGCCAATCTGCCTTATACATGCGATTTACATGACAGCATACGTCTTCGTGTGTCTTTAAGTGACCTTGTTGACATTTTCTGTCCAGATGATGTTGTCACAAAGCTCTCCCGGCTGGGCGCAGCAAACATAGTCAATTTCACACCCGTACACCAGCACATACGACCATACCCACTGGAAAACTCGGGATCCCGTCCGCTCTCCCATAGATAAGCCAGTGAGGGCTGGATTAGTAGTTGGGTCGGTGACGACCAGCGAATACCCGGTGTTGTATGTACAATTTTGGCGTTAATGTCCTTTTTGCCTCGCTGCAAGAGGGTGTAGATGTGAGATCACGTAGCACCGAGTTTTCATTACTTCCTACCGCTATTATCTAGTATGACTCCCAGTTAACGGCTTCTGTTTTGATTAAGGTAATATGTCACGCATCTGTCTAAATTGTTATTTGAAGTCGCGCGTTAGGGTTGCTGTGTAACGATCGCCTTGGGGGGTGGGGATGTGATTGCTTTGACATCTTCACATATCTAGTCATCTGCTGCTTGAGATTTTAGATTCAAAATCGCACCACGGCTTTTGGGACCGAATTCTTTTTGTAATGGTCTCTTACAATCCATCCCATTGTCTCCTCGTATTATCGTCTTGACCGTGGCCATCTCCCAGTGTGTATCGGAAGAGCTCATTTGGCTTCACCACCCTCGATGACTGTAGAATCAACGATTGTCCCAACTCGCTTGCCCTTATATGTCAAGACAACCTGCGACTCGCCGGCGCCATCTTTGGGGTGGCGCATAGTGACGTTGACTCCCCTTAGGCCTTCCTCCTCGGCTCGTTGATTCCAGAGCATCTGCCGAATAATGCCGTCCTCGGAGCACGAGATGAATCCCATCGGCCATCGGCTTCGTCCGAGACCTTCGCGTACCCCTTTGCTTGCTGTTTTCGTGCTTACAAGGAAGGCAATGACTCCTTCGCCACGCCAACCGACTGGGGCACCAATAAAGGCCCCTTCCAACTCTCGGATGACCGCAGGAGTTACCTTCTGAGCCCCTCCTTTGCACTGGAAAATGAGCTTCAAGCTGGTTCTTCGTGAGGGTAGTTTCCAATGTCCGAGAAGATCGACACCATAGTCTGAGACGCCACCTACTCTCGTAGCTTGAATTCCATATTGAGAGAGAATTGACGACACAGTGTATTCGTAATGAGTTCCAACATAGATGGTAGATGCCGTGTCAAGCCCAGTTCGATCTGCATAGTCTAGGAAAGACGCAAGGTCATGGTGCTTTACTGTTGATGCGTCGGGAACCGGCAAGTCCTGCCCTTTTTTCCCCTTCTGTCTCAGTGATGTTCGTGTCGAGAGTTGACGTGGTTGACCGACATGGGGAAGAAGTCGCAGAGGACGAAACCATTTGCTGTCTAGTGAGCGTCGCAGAGCATACATGCTCCTGGTATATGGGAAAGTTGGTTTCGGCGGAAGCGTCCTGGCATGTTCCGGCGCAAAAAGCTCATCACTTATTGAAGAAACATGGCCTGGGACGATGAGTTGAAGTTGCGGTACGGTGGGTACGTACCGAAGACGCTTTTCTGCTGCTCCATTCGATGGCTGGCCCGTGCGCCACACGCGGAATACCTGCCGCTGCCAGCCGCCATACGAGCAGTGTGCGGCACTTCAACCAAACCGAGATCAACGTCAACAACGGCCACTAGACGACCGGCAACATGGGTGACAGACTCACTCAACTGCAAGATGCTGTGGATCAGGTAAGAGATAGTCCCTCCTTTTTGCCATGCGACACCGTGGCCGCTGACACATTCTTTAGCTTGCCCAGCAATTCGTCGCAAGCTTCCACTTCGTCCACCGACGCCACGACCTAGAACTTCTTAGCCCCAACGACAAGATACGCGATGTCAAGCAGGAACCAGATCAGAAGGAGGGTACGATAAACGCTGCAGATGTTCATCGGTAGCCTTTGAGCATTTTGACTTACAGCGCGCAGTGGACCCGCTCCCCGCGGACGAATTCAAGGAAGGCCTAGCTGAGCTGTCGCGCGACTTGATTATAACGGAACAACAAATCGAAGTCCTCATTTCCAGTCTGCCAGGCTTGGATAGCAGCGAGGTTGATCAGGAGCGATATATACAGGAGTTGGAAGACGAGCTCAAGGTTGCCGAGGCACAGAGACAGGACGCGATTAAGGAGAAGGACCAGATCCTCGGCAAGCTCGACGAGGTCATCAGAAGCATTCGCAGACCTTGAGCGTCGGCGGGTGACACATCTATCTAAGGAAAATCGAAACGGCGTTTGGGCGGCTTTTTCTTTTGGCGTTGAGCAAGGAAAAGAATTGGGGGTATGCTACCAACATCTATCTATGAAACCTTTGATACCCATTACGTCAGGGGTTCTACATCTCGAACAATCCCCGTTACCCATTGTGCTTGATCACGACACACCTCTGTATCCGTGCTTGGGCCTTCTATAATCTTAGACATTCTTTGACTTGAAGAATTGAGGGAATGCCTCCCGCAGCTCTCTAAGGTGTCGGATCTGGTGCTTGGATGCCTGCGTCCTCGGCACAGGCAATCCCTCCTCCACCAGGTGCGCCACATTCCAGCCGTACTCTGTGGCCTTTTGACAGTTCAAGTACGAGTCGTCTGCAGTCAAACGTCAGCTCGAGGTCTTCTGCATCATGATGCGAATTAACTTACCCACAAAGTAGCAGTCCTCCATCTTTTCGACACCGGCCTCCTTCATGGCTCTGAGGTACATCTCCTTGGCAGGCTTGCAGACCAACGGCTGGGCTCCGTAATCGCAAAAGGTCAGTCCGTCAAAGAGGTCGTCGATCCGGAGTAGTTTAACGACACGCTTAGCGTGATTGACATAGGCATTGGTAAGAAGCCACATGGCGCATTTGCTCTTGTCGACGTCCTCGAGTAACTCGCGCAATTCAGGGTTGTACTGCAGAATGTCTTCGAGGGGAAGGGCGTCGTCGACCTTTGAGTTGTACTCCAGAGGGTCGATTTGATGGTGTCTCACCAAGCCTTCAATAGCTAGGCCATAGTTCGTATAATATTCCTTGTGCAATTTCACTGCGTCCTCCCAGGAGAGTGACAGATGCTTTGCGAAGTATTCGTCGATGAGTTGCGCCATGTGGTCCTGTACCCTTGAGCCTGGAAAGTGTCAGGTTGCGAGATTACATCTCAATGGTCTCATAAGCTTACTTCGCGGGTATAAACAATTATCAATATCACTGATACCTATTAGCGGTGGCTCGAAAAGACGCAGATAACGTCAACCTACAAGAACAGCACTGGCTTCGGAGCCGAGACTCCATTGGGTTGGACACTGGGATCCATGACTAGCCTGGAGGTGTGTGAATGGCGTAGGCTATGTCGAAAGACTGAGTGAAGAATCGGGGCAAACTTGGGCTGCTCAATTATTCGTGTTGATATCAGTGGTCGTGGTAGTTGTTGAGAATAAGACCTTAAAGATGGAATCGGGGAACAGAAGGTTCTCGATAGGCGTGGGAGTCTGGCTGGCATGAAGGACACAAAACCAGGCAGCTGGGATCTCAGTGGCACTATTTTATTTGTCGAAGTTGCAATCTCAATGGTTCAATGATGACAAACGCAAGCTGAGGGTCTGGCTTTGCATAATATACGGCGTAGAGAGCTGAATAGTGTCTTGTGGTTGAGTCACGTCGGCGACAAGACATGCACGCTACGTTGCTAATACTTCTGAGGTAATTACTGAGGTAGGACGGATAGCAGCGGGCGGGTTGCAGGGGGTAGCTCCTGGCCGGATGGGTGCAGCGCAGCCAAAAGACAAAAAATGACGGCAATGCGTGGAAAAGCTCCGATGGCTGGAGAGTGCACAGGCCGGAAACAGCCCGCTTAAGTGCATCCCTGCTAGGAAATTGCTGTATCCATTCTTCCAAACTTGCGCTAGGTCGCCTTGATCCCAGGAATCAAGGACCACCACGCACACAACCCAGCTGACTCGGTTTTTCCCTGCATCATTTGATCCACCAGCAAACAAACAAGAAAAACCGACTCCTTTTCGATTCTGTTCCACAGAACAGCAGACTCTCTTTCATTCCTCCCTGTATTCTGTACTCATCAGCCTGTGTAGGGTTTTACCGTCTAGTCTTTCTGCCGTTCGCTCGCATTCCTTTCTTTCCTTGCTGTCTGTGGCTTTTTCTTGCTTGAACGTCGACCTTTCGCGCAGAGAAGACCTCTGCGCTGCTTGCTCGTCGCCATGGCTCAAGGCCAGCTTGCGACGCTGCCCCCGATGGCCTCACAAGCCTCTGCCCCAAGTCTTTCGAAAGATGAACTTTATCAGTTACAGCAGTGCGAGAGGATCATTCAGTTTCGCGATGCCATTCTTGCCGGCGCCCATCCTAGGATCAAGGTGCCAGCCAATTTGGCGAAACAGACACCTGCTTTTGCAAACGCGTCTCCATCCAACCCTTCCACGCCGGCAAAAGACTCGGCTGCAGTCGGTCAGCCCGACCAGTCTGGGGGCTTTCAGTTGGTTGCAAACACGCAAAACGCGTCTCTTCCGGGTTTGGGAAACCTGCCTCCGACTAACGCGAATTTGCCCCAAAGACCATATGGCTCCGGCAATACTGAGATCAATCCCATTTTCCTCGAGAAATCTGATGACCTGATCAAAGCCGAGATCCAGCTCCAGAGGCAGCGCCTTGAGCGAGCATTGCGGGACGAGGTCGATCAACGACGGGCGGCTGTGAAGGCTTCGGCTCAGGCAGAGCCACTCGCCGACATCGATCTCTCCGATGTCCTCTCCAAAGCTCTCACTCTTGTCCAAGCTACCACAACCATGCCTGCCAATGCTATGCTGGCTGCTAACACTTCAGCTGCAAGTGATTCATTTGATGAGAATTCGTACTACTCCTCCCAACACAACTCGCCCGACTCTTCCCTCCTCAGTTCCCGCGCAGGCAACGAGCCTGAAGCTGCCACGCAAGCAAACAAGGCGTCTGCGCCTTCACAACCCTTCGACTTCCAGATTCAGGTTCAAACCAGTCCAACCTCCGGCCTGCCTTCCTCGCTTTCTCATGCGTCTGCTACTCATCAGCCACAGGGCCAAGCTTCGACGTTCACTCCATCCCACGCACGAGCTGCCCCGAGTGCAGTCGATATCGCACAATATGACCGAGAACCGTCGGTAGGCACGACGCAAAGAACAGAAGGGGGAGATAACACAAGTTCAACTTCAGGAGGTGGGAGCGGAAATGCCAGTCGATCTGAGGAGTCAGGCGTCATAGAACTTGACAACAGTGCTGATAGGTCTGTTCCAGTAGCAGGACGCCAGCAACTGAGAGACTCTTTGCTTGATCGTCAACCTTCGCCACTTATTCAAGTCCGGGCTCACAACATATCCCCCATCGCCCCACAGCCCGCACACGTTTCGTCTCTAGCCGTTGCTCGGGTTCCAGCAGTAGATGCGCAAGACGTGAGCATCCCTCAAGGGACCACGGCGCAGGTCAGGGCTTTGCGCAATGAGCCCAATACTATTTCTAGTCCTGATAGTTCGCCACAAGGAGGACGGAATATTGAGAAGCGAAAGGGCAAGAAAAAGAACAAGTTGAACAAGAAGGCGGCCCGGCAAGCGCAGGAGGCCGAGCCTTACATCAAGCCTGAACCCCAGTCACCCTCTCCCATGAACGCGCCTTCGTTTATTCGACCCCCAAAGCGCCAGAGAAGACAGGGAGATGAGGAGCCTCGATATGCCCAGTCAGAGCGCCAATTTTCTCGCTCCTACAGGGACGAAGCCGCAGCCCCAGCTTACGAGAACCAAGAGTATCGCCGACCTGTCAGTCAAGCCGCAGTTGCTGCTGAATACGGGTACGGAAGAGAGTACGTGGAGGATGCCCGCGTCCCTAGTGGCGCAGAGTATGTACGGCGAGTGCAGTCGCCTGGCGTATACGCCGTCCATACTGCGCCGAGTGAGATTTACGCAACTTCTCCAGCTAGTGTCGATCGCTACGGTAGGGAACCTACACGATACTACCGAGACGGCTACGAGGTCACGCGTATGAGTACTCGCCCCGTGGCCGAGCGTGGAAGATCTCGTTCCCCAGCCATGAGGGAGAGAGGATCACCACTTATGGGACCTCCGAAGGGGCCGCCTGCCAGAGTCGTAGTAGATCCCGCTAGCGGCCGCAGATACTACGAACCCGCCAGCGTCATTCGTCAGTCGGCCGCGCCGCAACAACCAGAGATTATCTACGAGAGAGCACCGATCCGAGCCGAGTCCAGACGGCCTGGGCCGGACCCGCGTGACGATGAGGTCCTTTACCAGAGAACCTCACCCATGTACGCGGCACCACGCCGTGTGGTCACCCAGCCAGAGTATGGGGTGTCAGATGCTCATCGTATATATCGCCAGCGGGAATACTCATCGAGACCGATGCCGCCACCAGGAGAGGAGTATGTTCAGATAAGGGGCGGGACGGAGCGGCGCATTGTGGAGGGGTTGCCACAGGAGTACCTAATGCGTGCGACGACGGTGCGTCCGGCCGAGACGGTACGGTACGAACTCCCTCGGGAGTATGGGAGAGTACAGAGCGTGAGACCAGAGCAGCTGCCTGTTCGGGACTACGGCGGTGCGCCCATACACCCGGAAAGTCAACGGGAGGTGATTCCGCCCATTCCTCGTTCGTACAGCGTACGGCCGGCGGCCGAGTCCCACGTTGTGCGGAGAGAGTACAGTGTCAGGCCGCTAGATCAGCCGTACTACGGTCAGCCGCTCCCCGCCCGGGGCGAACCGGAGGTATCGTATATTGAGCGGCCCAGAGTGGCCGCCCCGGAAGTATACTACGCCGGGGAGGGGCCCCGTCAGGTGTACCGGTGAGAAACTCTATGAGGGACGGTTGTCATATGGCTGGCTATCGAACAGTAAAAGTATCTTTGGAATGGAAGATTCCAATGGGCGCGGAAACCAGCGAGAAGGAAGGGACGGGGTGGAGTTCGGGATGGGCTTTTCGGCAGCAGCCGTGGTGGGACACGTGTAAGGCTACAAAAATGCTGTCCTGCACTTTGGATCATGGGGAGCGTTGTACATGACGAGCGAATCAACATAATAGCGTGAGCCTAGCAAAGGCTGGATTGAAAATAAATGTTGCCTAAACCTGGTTGCAGTATGATGGTGAGACGAACGGTACAAAAAGTTGCCGACGCCGCGATTGCATCCTTGGTTCTCGTCAAGTTGCCAGATGGCCTCGAAGCTTGCCACATATGCCACGCACAACACAGTTTTGGCGCTTCAAGAGAGAGAAGAAGGGGCCGGGATCGCTCCTCGACGCCGACCGCTGAGGGAGTCTGGAGTCGTTTGGGGTTTCGGAATATGCAGTGGCTTCACTTACGTACGCACACTGGACGCTTGCTTGTTCAGGGGTGAGGGGAGGAGGAGAAGGGGGCAGGGAAAGTGGGCAGCAGTCGGGCACGTCCAGTAGCTTTGGTTTACGTTCTCTCCCTCTGATGAAGTCATTGTGTGAGCAGTCCTTCGTTTTCTGGGGACTCTTTTCTGTGGTCCCTGCAGATCTCGCTTCAAACGGGGGGGTTGTGTGTCGGTGGGCGCTCAATTCAACTGGGACACGAAGAGAAGGGAGGGATACTCTGTAGACGTTGCTGGGTTTAAAAAGAAAGCCAAGTGAATGTGAGATTGAAACAGGTTAGAGAAAAGACAGACTTCACAACTCATGGTCTCTTCTCTTCAAAACGAGGAACTTGCAGTTGAACGCAGACTTCCGAAGACTGCTGGCAATCCCGCTTGCCGCGCAAAAGCAGACAGGCAGAGTTGTCCACACGAGTTGACTTTCAGATATCAGATGTTGCCAGCTAGGGACAGAGTGCGAGAGTCGCTATCAACTGTGCGCCTTTCTGATCGGTTGCAAAGTGTTTAGAGTGTACAGGCTCCGGCGGGTCCGACCAAACACACATAGCCCTTGCATCAAGGTGCAATATAACATTATTCTGATCCGCTCGCCTCGTCCGGAGAAGAAAGTTCAACAGTCAGTGTCACTGCAAGGACGTACCCAGTCAGCCCATTTGCTTGTTGTTGCGTTGTGTTGGTCCGAGTGCCCCTTCATGGAAGACCAGTTCGAGGTTGAAACGTTCATCCTGGGATCATCGATCTACGTCCGTCTGCCGCTGGCGGGATGTAGGCTGTAGCAAATAGCTGAATCACCACGAGCCGGATTCGCATTGCCCACCACGGTCGGAAGAGCGCTACCAACCCCTCTGCTGGCGGTCGCCAGTGAATGCCGGATCTCGAGCGTCTTTTTGTTCGTCCGTTTCTGGCCCTGGGAGACCGACAGGCGTGTGTAAGGACGCAAACCGCCCTTCTGTAGGTCGATTCGCCGGTGGGTCGCCGTCGCAGCAAGCCGGGGCTGGGGCGCGGCCACTTTTTCATGGTTGCAGATCAATCAACCAGACACCACTGCCAGCGCCTGGTTTTGTTTCCAGGTGAGGACGGCGTCGACGGCATCTCCCCTGTCTCGGACATGTTTTTCAAGGGCGAGCTCAAGATAGGGCCAGGTAGCCCAGGCTCAAGGGCCCGCGAGGGAATCCCTAATTCGCAATCCCCATGGTGTTTGCGTGACATGTGTCAGTCGCCCTCTCGGGGCCGTACAACCGCCGTACGCGTGCGCAGTGAACATTGTCTCGAAGTCTCCGAGTCGCTGTTGGAGCCAATATTCCGGCGAGCGTCGCGAGCCTAGAAGGGGAGCGGCCAGTGGCCAAGTGCCGGCGTATCGCAGCAGCCCTATCAGCTAGCTAGGAGGACTGTACCAAATCCCGAAGGCGCCGGTGACTGGCTACCTAGATCATGGTCACGGCCACGGTCCGCGGGTGAATGGTGCGGTGTGATTCGGGACGCTCTCACTAAAGGCTCGAGCTCCCCACACCACGCCCACACCTGGAGACGTAAAGGCGTGGACGGAAGAGTTGGCCAAAGGGTTCAGGGATGTTGGTTGACTTCAGGGCAAAAGGCGAAAGTTCAGTCGAAGCTCCAACATGTCGGGGAATGACCTTTTGGGAAGTATGGTGATTCTTGTGTGCCTTTGGCCGATCTTTCTCGTTCAATGGGACAGACGGACACACACACACACACACACACACACACACACACACACACACACACACACCCCAAGCAAGAAATGCGCGGTGACTATTGTAGTGCTGCAAAGCAGCCCAACGGCGCCTCTAGGCCCTGGGAGCCGGAGTCGTGCAGACAGGCAGGCTGTCTGTCTGAACTATTTGCAGGCTGGCTGGTCGAGGTCCGATATGCACAGAGTGAGAGAACGCCGGAACCTTTGGACAGATCGACAGCTCCTCAGAGTGACCTGACTAAGACCGATCTTGCGACGGCGGGCCCAAATCAGGCCGTTTTCTTGATGACAGATGTGCTCCGTCGACGCACGCCGGAATCCGCGAACCGCAGGTGTTCTCGGCAGATGCACCAATGGGTGTATTGGACCAACCTTTATTCAATGCCAATTGGAATGGACCCGGACGTGGAGAAAGATTGGACGTTCTATGTTCAATATGGAGGCGTTCTTCGCATGTTGACGGAATCTCGCTTGGGGGAATGGCAGCACTGCGGATAGGTGGCATTGGGCGCGATGCGAGTGGTGACGCTGACGGCGGTCATGACAATGACGGCGACGGACGTGGTGGTGACGATTCAGAATCCGCACTATCATGACTGCCGTCACTGTCGCAGCATCGAAAGTTGAAGTCGTGACCGGGGCTGACTTGTGAAGGAGGAAAGACCCTCGGCCACCACCGCGTAAGCCTGCTTGGACCACATCATCCCGTTAAGCCATGCCAGGCCGGGCCACAGTCGGCTGTCAGTCGCGTGCCCCAGCGTTCGGAGCCCAGCAGGAGCGACTTCCTGGCGAAACGAAAGGGGGGGGCTCTCAGCAGCGGACAGTGGGCGGTGCGTTGTGTGATGTGGGTGTAAGAGCGTCAAGCAACCGACGAGTAACAGGTAAGGTAGGTAGGTACCTAAGGTCAAGGACAATGTTGTGGGGTTGAGCTGACCCTAATTCACGAGATGTCATCGTACGCGGACGACGACCTGAAGGACCAACCAGCTTGAGGACCGCAGGTGATGGGCAACAGTATCATCTTTAGGAGGAATTGAGCAGGCTCATGTTGGTCGTCAACGCAGATGTGATAATGTCTTTCGGGACGACGATTAATGTTGAAATATTGAAAGACACTGGCGGTATCTGATCAGTTGGAGCTGGGCCATCTGGATCTGATAGCCTTCCCGCCAAAGTGGTAGGTGCAACCGAATGCACTGGAGAATTTGCCAAGAAAAAAGTAACCCCAAGGTTACTGTTTGACGCAAAGAAGGCATAAAGAGTTGGAGAAACGCGTCCATCTACTTTCCGGTACCTCGGGGGATGGAGCTTGCGGGTGCTCGCGGGACCGGTGCACACGCTCCTACCTGGTCCTTCCTCATTAAGCAGCATGCCAGACGAGGGCTCTAGTGCCTCCTCACAGATGTTGGGCTGGGCGTTGTCATCAGCCGGACATGCTTCAGCAGTTGGGGACCGTCATGCCAGGAATTCCGAGAGCAACGAGCGAGAACTGTGCAGCATTCTTCGTATGGAGGTACGTAAGATGTCGGTTACCCCTGGGGCTGTGCTTGACGATGGGAGATTATGAGGTAGGCTTCAGTTCTCAACCCATGCGTGCGTGCCATGCCGCAAGACTTTATTTAGGGGAGTAATTGACCAGGGACTCGATCTACTGGCAAGATAAATAAGAAAACAAAGTACATGATTGAAATGACCATGGGGGGAAAAACATAAGCCGGACATCAGACACCTTCATATGGCGCACTGGGCACAGACAGGTAAGGTAGGACACAGCCCTACTACTAGGGGGCACTGGTTAATTGGGCCGGAGTTCCAGTTCCCTGCATCTGTTTGATTTCTTGTTTGGAGCGAGCGACATGAACGCGAAGGCATCATCGAGTCTCCCCCAGCGCAGAGACAATGCCCGCCTGTTTCTCACCTCCACCAGGCCCAGCCCGTGCTGTCTTCTATTTTGTCTCTGATCTGCGGTGCCGGGTTGGCTGTTCGGGCGGCACGAGGGCTGGATACGCGTGGAATACATGCACAACGACGGTTTTGCGTCCAGCCGAGCAAGTGAGAGACAGTCCCGAGGTGGCATCGACAACACACCACGACGCCGACGACAACGACCGACCAGGTAGGCACAACAGGGACGGGCAGGGTAAGAGGAGGTGGTCTTCCGAACCGGAGCCCTTGGACGACCGAGACGTGGGACGGGAATTGGGATATCGTAGATTTCCGAAGCCAAAGCTCGGCGCATCCGCAGACTCTGAGCTGCCACTGACTGACTGACTGTCAACCAACGATGGCGGGCTCGGATCTGCGTTACATACAACGCATCCGTAATGCGTTGTAGTAATCGACCGTCCACTTCCACCATTAGTTGTTGGGTGGTTTGGGCTGAATGTTTCCTCGTTTTTTGACTGAGAATTTTTGTGCTCGTTGGCGGAAGAGAGTGGAATGAGAGCAAAATTGGCTTCCTTGAATGTACCTTCAAGTGTCTGAGAGCGCCAATTGGACTCGGCGGTGGTTTTGGGAGTTCCATTCGGCATCGTCCCACTGGGGCTTCCAAAACCCTGCAGGCTGCCAGTCAGCGGCGAGAGCCAGTGAGCTGCGGCCGCTGCAGCGCGGTAGCGCTCCACGAGCAAGGGTGCGCCGTGCGAGGAACCGTCACCCGTCATGGATGTTGAGATGCCGAAGTTACCTGGTACCTCAGAGGCGCTCAGCAAGTACCTAACATTTACGGATTCACTACTTGTATTCG